TCCCGGGTTCAGTCAGGTAGAATAGAGGTGGGACGGGGTGTGAGGGGGAAGGTCAGGAATCCCGGGTTCTGATCCTCAGAACTCACAAGGCTCTCAATCAATGTGCACACTGAGCCTGACTGCACGTAGAGCAGGTTCCTTAACTGTGCTGAGGAGTTCTGCTCTCTGTGAATGAATAACCGTCAACAATCTTACAGGTTTGCTGTGAAGATCAGATACGGGAATATTATGTGGAAGTATTTAGTAAACTGTAAAGCATTATGCAATCAAATGCAAAGAATTACTATTGTCTTCCAACTGTTGGGACCTTAGCAAAGAGGTCCCAAAGACCTGAAGTAAAACACCTGAAATTTCTTTGGGTCCAAGAAAACTGTGCCTGACTCAATGCTTGTAGGTTTGCCTCCCAAGGTCATCCTGCCTCTAGAAGCAGCCCCAACCCAGTGGGGCCCAAAGGCACTTACAAGCCATTTAACTTGTGTGCTAGGCACGGTTTCACTGCTCTTCATGTATTAATCCAATTAATCCTCACAACAAGTTGATGAGGAAGGTGCTATTATACCAATTTTACAGATGAGGAAATGGGAGGCATAGAGAGGCTAATTTGTCCAAGAGTGGCATAGCCAGGATTCAAACCAGAAATTCCAGTTCCAGAAACAGACTCTGAATCAAGTATAATCAACTGTAAGGTCCTCACTCTAGCACCACACCCCCCCCCCACCCTGCACGAGGCATGGGCATGTGTGCACTCTTTTCCACCTCAGCTCTCTTTCGGCTCACCTCCCTCTGACGACCCTTAGCTGAAAACGCCATGGAGCTGGCTGGGCTGGTGCAGCTGGTGCAGGGACCTCCACCACCCGACCCCTCTCCTCTACCTTCTTAACCTCATCTCTTTGTGCATCCCTTCACCTGCTCCTATCAATAAACACTCCGATTTCATCTCCCTTTGGTCAAACGACCCCAATTTCTCTCCAGCTGCATTCCAGTTACCTGCCCCACAATCCCAAGTGCTCCAAAGGAAACCAATCCTTCCTCCACCACCGATCTCTCCTCCTGGGGAAGCTCCCAGTGCAGGTGCACTTTCTGCTGCCCCTTCCTTCCTTGCATCCCTTTCCTGCAGAGCCCACTGCCATCCTTTGTTCCCCTGGGCACTACTCCCCTAGAGACGGCCCGGCCACCTCTCCTGCAGACCTAGAAAGTCTCCTACACAGCGGCAGGCTGGGCTCTTCCTGAGCTGGCGCTCCAAAGCTTTCCGGTGCTCAGAACCCTACAATCCACCTTCCCGCTGCCGGTGAGGCAATCTCCAGATGCCTCACCTGGCTCCGGTGTGCACCCTCATCTCCCATCCCTCCTTACCTTCTGTCCCACACTGAGTGGGACCTGCCTGCCACCCTGCTGTTCATGCCTCCCTCCCCTACACTCCTGCTACCTGGCAAGGCCACTCTTCAACCACCATCTCCCCCGTGGGCTTGCCGGAGCGGGCAAGCACAGCCTCTCCCAGCCCTGAGCTCCATCATTCCAGCGGCTCCCCTGAGGGTATGCGGCCACCTCTCCCAGCATCCAGGCACTGGATCCCTCAATCCTCAGATCTGGGAGGCTGGTACCGGAAAAACACCATTCTACAGAGGAGGAAACTGCCGGTTACACAGGTAGAGTGACTCATCTGAGGCCACACCTAAAAACGGCAGAGCCAGACCCCATCCGAGGCCTGGCTGCTTCCTAGCTGGTTCGGAAGCCAGAGCTCCTTACTCCCCAGGCTACACTGAGGGTCACTCCTGGCTGGGCCATGCTCATCTCTGTATCCCACCAAGAACCTAGCTGGCATTGGAACGACTGGCCTGCGGGTCTCCAAATCACCGCAGCACAGCAGGTGGTCAGGACTTTCTGGACAAAGATGACAGGCGCACCTTAGGGTCCCTGGGACGTCAGGGCAGCATGAGCTGACGCCAAGACCAAGGGTGTGCCGTGCAACCAACAGCCCGCACACAGGGCACTCGCTTCCTTTCTAAGCAAAGCACCTGCTTTCCAAAATATAAGGTGTGGCCAGATGCTGCCTTTACTGGGATACCAGAAGGCCTGCTGTTGACTTTACATCAGTAACAACCACGCGGAAATAAAACCTAGCAATGTCTTCGGTCTGACCAAACCTGAGCTCAGGGCTGGAGACGAAGGTGGCTGCACAGAACCAGCTGTCCTTCAGGTCACTGAGCTGCACACCGAAAAGCTGTCAGTTTTATACCCTCTGTTTTACCATGAGACATGAGCTCAGACGCCCTTCATGTGAGAGAAAAGCCCAATGGCAAGGCCTGCAGAGAGCGAGCACGTTGTCAGTCATCACATTCAGACCGACCAGAATCAGAAGCTGCAGGTGTGCGAGCCGCGAGACATGTCTCGTTAAAGCTGTGCTCCAGTCCCACAGATCCGAATCTAAAGGATAACCATTCTTAACAGCAGGTCTCGTGGACCCCGACCAGTCATACAGAGCTATTTAAAACCACAAGAACCATCTTACTGGAGCATTTTAAAATTTTACTGATTCCTAAAACGTTAAAAAAAAATGACTTTAGGATTTATGTCCTCTAATTACAGACTCCATACCCACTCATCACAAATCTGCAAACATCACAGGTATATGTGAAGTAACCACCCCTCTTCTCAGATTTAACCAATGCTACTGTATTAGATCTGGGTTTTCTAGGCTTTTAATTCCTCCCAACAGGTAACCTGTAGGGACGAACAAGTGCAGTAACTTTTAAATAGCTTTTTCACAAATCAGTCTCAACAACCCTGCACAGACTGGCTTTCAGCTCAACTTGAACTGCCCTTCACTAAATTCATCCGGGTCTTTTCCGTAGAGGGCCACATATGAAATACTGTAGGCTTATGGGCCATAAGGTCTTTGTGGAATACACGCAACTAGCCTGTTGTAGCTCAAAAGCAACCACAGACAACAGGTACGTGATGGGTGTTAGGGGTGAGGGAGAAAACTTTATTCACAATGACAGGCTCTGGCCAGGCCATGATCTGTGGATCAAAGCAGAATTTATGAGAATCACAAAGTTGGGTATGTGGGAAGAGGTTCCAGGGGTAGTTTTTGGCTATTGTC